AACTGAAACAGATTTAAGTCATGAATATAGGTTTTAACCGACATTTATATCTTAGCAAAGGGTATAACTTAATTTCATAGCCTTTGAAGCAAGATATATTTATTGGAGGTTGTACTTTTTTTGGATAAATCAGTGTTCCTCACATATTTTTAAATAATTCACTCTGTCACTGTTTGTACAAATGTTTGTTATTTGCAGGAATAAATGACAAAAAAGCTTACCGTCTAAATATTTAGATCTACATTAATAGTGCAGAAGATTATTACCACTGACAGGTGAAGCAGATAACAGAATACCCTTTCATAATGATACCCGTTAGAAAAATTTGTAGGAATTTAAAAATCCTTGCCTGTGAAATGGGGTAGAGGTGCACAGCAGGGAGAAGCTTTCTTCGTCACAATTGAGGGTAATTTTGACAAAAGGATGAAGTAAGGAATGCTCTTAAGAGGTTTGTCTGTGACTTTTAAGAAAGTCATTTTAATTTAGCCCTAAAAGGTCTTATCGTCATCCTCCCTTAGCTTGCTTGGAATCACCATCCAGCTGCTTCGGACTACTCCTACTTTGGTAAATCTACAACTGTATGGAGACTTGTCCAATGTCCTCGTTTTACCTCTGGCCTTTAGCTTCTAGAAATCCCTGTACTGGTAGGATCTCTAAACATTCTGTTAGACCCATGGGTACTAGTTGCTTTGTTAGGCACTTTAAAGTAAATAAATCACTGTGACTTGCTCCATCAAATCCAGAACCACCATGTTGAGGTGAAACTGACAACCAGCAAATCTTATGATGTAGTGAAGCCTTTAGGCCACAGAGTGAATTTGCTAGCCAGGCAAATTTCTGGCAAAATGTCAGGTGAGAAAAAATTCTTACAGTGCAATTGCCACAATGAACAGCCTTATTACTACTAGCAGTACTTCTGAATCAGAATGAATATATCACCCAAAGCCTTGAGCAGCTATACATTTAAAAAGTACAGCAAGTGGGAGGCTGCTTGATGGTTTGTGTTCATTTCATAATCTCTGGAGGAAAAGCCAAGATCCACAGCTCAGGTGGGAAAATCTGTTGTGCAGCAGTGGTACAGTCAAGAAATCAGATCTTTTTTAATACATGGGATGTAGGGTTTGTGGCAAACACATGAAAGTCAATGTTCCGGTAAGATAAAACAAAAACTATACTTATTGAAAATCATTGAAAACTGTCATTTAGAGCAAACCCTTCGTATAGACCTGACCCAACCGAGCATCGCCACAGTACTGTAAGTTATTATGCATGTTATGCTGTTGGAAAACAGTATAACAGGCAAGTTGGTCAGAAATGATAGAAATATACATATCATTAATGCAGGGTGATACCAGAAGAAAACCCTCCAAGGATCTTCAAAGGTTTGAGTATCTCCTGGAGGTTCACCATCTAACAAGATATTGACCTTATATAATGTAGATCCCTATAGAGTTTTTCTTTCACTTAACAATCATGAAAACAAGTTTCTACAAAGAATGAAACATTTGTTTTGCTTCATAGATTAAGTACAGGCATATTTGATGACTGTTTGTTTGTTTTGGTTGGTTCATTTAATATTTTAATTATTGTACAGCATTAGCAACACAGACAGGGAAGTATGGTAATCACATGAAAACCAGCGCTCAAAATATAATCACAATCTTAGTGGGGGGGCAACTCATGGTCGGAAATTCTTTTGGCCTAATTAAGAAGAAATTTGAAGAGGCTCGGCTCTGAATAACATTGATGAAATATACTCCTCTCATGTTGCTGAGGAGATCAGTCGTTGTCCCCTCCCCGCACTTCATATATCCTAGATAAACATTTGGTTTGGAAGTAGAGGATGAAGGATTACTGTTGAATTATGAGCTTTCAAAAGCAAGAAGGTGCTTCTGTGTTTGTTTCTCATTTATTTTTTATAATGGGATGTGGTTTGCGTTAACAAATAACGCATACTGCTGGATTCTTAGCCCTTGCCAATTTGCAATCCTGGTCCTCCCGTTTGCATCTAAGCTGGCTTTTTATCTAGAATAAGAAGCCTGTTTTGGGGCAAGAAAATTCATACATATACTTTCCTACTTAAATTATCCCATAAATTATAGTCAATAGCTGCAGCAGCTTTTACATCCATAACATCCAGTTTAAATCCTTGGTTCACTGGCCTCAAGCTCAGGAGGGAATTCTAATTCACAACAATGAATAAGTAAACATTCAAGCAGACTAATATTCTCCTTTAATAGACTTTGGAAAATAGGCTTCATCTGCATGACAATATCTTCAGACGCAGTGTCAAATTCCACGTATATTGCTCATTTGAACTTGACGGCATCTTGTTTCCTAAAGTTGTCCCCATTCTTTAATTCTTACCCTAGAACAGTGGCCGTTCTGGCATTGCATTTTCTGATTTCCATCCAAAAGTTGTGCTGTTGGCAACGCTTGTTCCAAACGTGGGGGAAAAAAATAATTACTTCCCCGCGCAGCATGCAGGCATTAATATTAATAAGCCACTGAGGTACACTCTGCGTCCCTAACTCCTTGTCATTTAAAATGTGAGCCCATGAGATAGTGCTCTAAATATATCTGCTGACAGATCCAGTGCAGTAATGAGCTTGAATCAAATGTCTTTCACAATATGCTGCCGTTACTCCTCAGTGACATCAGGCTTCTGCAAGGTGATGGATGGGTCAGAGGTGACTAATTTTAGTAATTGTTGTTGTGGCTCAGAGTTTTGTCATTTTTTAAAGGTCCAATCTGGCAGAAAATCTAAGCTAATTTGACCTTGACTAATGGGTGACATAGACTTTGACATAGCAGAAAGATTTAGTGACAGATTCCTTGGTGGATTTACATCATTATTTCATAGTTTACTATCAAGTTTATGGAGAGCTGTATGCACCATATTTTGAACTATTTAGAAGGATGCTGAACATTTGAATGAGGATTTCGTATAAGATACTGACAATAAAAAAGACAAAATAACAGTACAATTACTACAAGTTGAAGAATGAAATATACATAACTTAAAGGGATATTTTGAGATATAAAAATTACAAACTACTTCATTGAAGCCAACAGTACATGAAATAAAAATAAAATAAAATTTATAAGCACGTTTCTAACTTGCTTTTGGAAGAGACTAAAGATTTCTAGTTTTCTTTGAGCCACAGATATGATATTGTAGTCTTAAGTCAGACCTTTAAAAATAAAATCTTAATAAATACTGTCAAAAAGCTTTTAGTTGTATTTAAATATCTTTAACATCAATGCATTTAATACATTAACTACACTGCTATTATTATCAGCTAATTCCAAATGTTTACATTCACTGTCTCAAATATTAATATTATTTTTGTCTCACTGTTTGAAATTAGGTCGTTCTCTAACTTTTTCAGTTAAGACCTGTTGTGATTAACAAGATTGTTTCATTCAGTAAATTACAAACTTTACATACCTTAGGATTACCCGATTCTAACCATTAAAAATGCTGATGGCAATGCTATGTTGTGTAATTGTTCTTATTAATATCATGAATAATTCCAATTGGAAATTATACATTAGTCTTCTGATCTATGTTAACATACTGGCTACCAGGATTTAATGATTATGACAAAAAAATAAAAATAAAACACTTCAGTTGTTCAATTAACAATTAACTTAATGTATCAGTCAATGTGGATATCGAATCAACTGTGGACCTGGGTTTGAATTAACACATAGTTAACGTTAACAACTTTGATTTATAATTATCGGTAAAAAAAAAAAACAGAAAAAAATGTCTCTATATTAATAAGCTGTTAAAGGAACAGAATGCTCAGAAGTAGGATTTAAGACACCAGATTGCTGATATGAAATATCCACAGACAGCTACACTTTGCATAGGCTAAAATGTATTCAACCAAAGTGTGAGTGCAGGGAAAGACTGCAAATTCTACATTCATGAAGGCTTCAAGCTTAACAAGCCTTTTCTTGGATGGAATAATAGGGAAGGTAACAGCTTCAACCAGCGAAGGTGCAGCAACACATGATTCACCATTTTTTTTTTTTTTTTAAACAAGCTGGCACTAGGTTACGATGGAGCTTCTTTCCAAAGCAGTGGCTTACTGCAAAAGACACCAGTGGAGGGTTTTTTTCACCTCTGGTGTGACATCAGAGCAAGGGGTATTGGGAGCTGTAGTTTCAGTTTGTTATAGGTTCATTGGAACAATGCAATATGTCTGTGAATTTCTAATGGGGGCTAGGGGGTAGCAGGGCATGTAGCCTCTATTTCAGTTCCAGTAAAAAGTAGCTACTGGGAGGCTTGTCAATATTATAAGTCAACATTAGACTTCATGATCCATCCATCCATCCATCCATCCATCCATCCATCCATCCATCCATCCATCCATCCATCCATCCATCCATCCATCCATCACCATCCCCTTGTCTGTCAAGGTCACAGTGGTGCTAGTTCAAAGCTCACTAGTCCATAATGGGGAACCACCATGATTTATTATTTGACATTTGTAATCTAATTTGCAATATCACCACCTAATCTTTTGTAAAGCCTTTTCATGATTGATTCCAGAAATAAATGCAAACCCATTAAAGAAATAAAAGTTGCAAATGACTAACCCTCTTAGACTGTCTTAATTAGTTTCAAACTGTTTTATGGAGGGCTTTTGAATAATTTCTACAACTCGCACAAAGGCAGTATATATATTAAAGTGTTTTTTTTCTGTAATGGAGGAAACTCTTCAGGTAATTATGAGAAAGATCTTAGTTGGTTAGGAGGCTTTAATGCGATGCAATAGCCAGAATAGTAATAGAAATGTATAGTTATATGTTTTGATTTGTTTTTCTGACAAATTAATTATTGAAAGTGAAACTGAACTGTGTCTAGAAAGCCAAAAAAGGCTGGTATTTGATTCACAAATGTTTAGATCAAGTGATCCTTTGTTCTTTTTAAATTACTTTGTAAAATGCATTCTCAGTTTTTAATAAACTTCTCTTATAACTTTCAGCTGCACTCTAACGCTGACAAGGGCGACGGCACGGTGAAGTACATCTTGACTGGAGATGGGGCTGGCACCCTGTTTTTGATCGATGAGAAGTCTGGAGATATCCACGCTACCAAGAGGCTAGACCGGGAAGAAAAAGCCATGTACACACTGCATGCTAAGGTCTTGGACAGAAACACCAATGCAGAACTTGAACCCGACACTGAATTTAACATAAAAATTCACGACATCAATGACAACGCACCAAGATTTGTAAGAGAGGTGTACTACGCCAGTGTCCCTGAAATGTCTGAAGTTGGTGAGTTTTGGATTTTGTTCCAAGATAAATTTATCCACACAATGTTTCTTAAAAAAATAATCAGCCGCAAAAATCCAACAAATCAACAAGGATCAATCAATAAGTCTCTTTATAAAGCTATTCCCATTAAATATTATAATATAATGTAATCTTAATCAGACTGTATTGAAATACTTTTATAGAAGGATTAGTATGTGATTATGAATCCTCTGACATATTACTGTTGCTGTATACTTTACTGTCCCCAAAATGATCTTTTACAGTATTACATATGAAGAGTTGCAAGACTTTGTGGTATATTAGACAAACAAAATTATAGTTGTCAGATGTTTTCTCATTACAAGACTGATTTAACACCATTTTTATATATTTTTCTAGCCTTCCTGCTGTGAGAAGTTACAAGCACTTAGACAAATGGTATAAAGATTTTAAAACTTTGGGGCAGAGTTGAAAAGACATAAACAATTTAGCTCAGAAACATTACCCATTTACAGCAGCTCTGCCATAAAGGAATGGGCCAAACTGACAGCAAACTATTGTCTGAAGCTTGTGAAAGGTCATTCCAAAAAAAAAATAGAAAATTTTAAACAATCCACTGTACTTTCTTTTCTCTTCAAACTTGGAAACAAAGTCCAGTGGATTGTTTTAAATTTTCTTTTTTTGGAATAATACAACATTTAACCCATAAAAAAAAAAAAAAAAAATCAAGACAGGTCTCTCTTATTCAGTTTTCTACCGTTTAACAAAAAGAAACCCTAACAAACATTGAAAAGGCAGGGAGAAGAAAAAAAGTTTGTTTCTGAGCATGTTTAATGTTACACTTCTGTCTTAGAGTAAATGTTTAATCCAGATGCAGATGACTTCAGAGGGTTTATCTGAGATAATTTAGACCAAAATTAACTCAGATTTCTGAACGGCTGCCCAAATTCCCCGGAAGTTTGATAACAAAGAAAGTTTTAAATGCAATAGGTAAAATAATTAAAAACATCTCTTCCTGATTACAGTTGTTCCCTCTATCGCTGTTCTTCCTCTGAATTGTCTTTAAGCAACCTCATTATAGTGATATGAACTTAGTCTGCTCTCTTTACTCTTCCAACACTCTTCCATACTGAAGAGTGTTGTTGTCAGCATGTTATGTTGGCAATTAGGTATGTTGTATTTAGTAATCAGAAGTGCGCAGATCCCTGGACGTCCTAGGTGGATTTTTATCTTTAATTTTAATAATCTCCATAAAAAATGCAACAAACTAGTATTTAAGAACATATTTCATCACCATAATTAATCAAAAACTGAAATACCATAAGATATAAACAGATGTACAATGTTAGGTACATGAGAAAGAAATGGTAACAAATAGATTCATATTAACTAAGTAGTAGTGTGTTAGCTAGAAATTGAAAAATTGGTTGTGCCTATTTGGAAAAAATATATATATTTTCACATAAGCACCTAAGAATTATACTCTTCTGAGAAGGAGTGTGGTGTGAGGAAATTTAGAGTTGGGCTTAGGCAAATGTTTTATGATAAAAAGCTAGGCCAATATAAACATGCAGAACCTGTTTCTCTTGCCCTTTTGCAAGAAAAAAAAGTACAATGTTGGATCTACATTTTTCAGTGTTTTTGAACAATAATGCAGAAATATATATTCAAACTTCAGAGGTGTCAGGTAATGACGTACAAATACTTTGTTACTGTACTTAAGTACACTTTGTAGGTATCTATACTTTACTCCATTACTTATTTTTTTTCCTACTTCTGACTTCTACTCATTACATTTTCACAGACGTATCTATACTTTCTATTCCTTACATTTCTAAAATAAATGTTACTCGTAATTCTTGGCTTCATTTTTATGTTCGTGAATATTTATTTCACGTGATGTGCGCTATCCAATGCAGATCTTTGGCCCCTATCCACGTCTAGTGAAAACTAGTGTAATTGCCAGTGCTGGGCACGTTACTTTGAAAAAGTAATTAGTCATAGTTAGTAGTTACTTCTCCCAAAAAGTAACTGAGTTACTAACTGAGTTACTCCACAATAAAAGTAACTAGTTACTAGTAAAAGTAACTATTGCGTTACTTTTGCGTTTCTCACCCCCGTAACCCTCACCACCCAGCCCCCACCTTCTCGCCGTGTGTTTCAAAGCCAGCTGAATAGAGCGGATGACAAAGACAAGAACCTGCAGAGAGTTTTGCATTTCTTGTAACTCAACGTAAATGACATCAGGGGGGAACGCGATGTGACGTTTTTTAACAGGGCATTCAGATCTGGTGAGTATATGAAATTAATAACTGGGGTCTAATTCTGAAATCCTGTGTGTTTGGGTTGTTACAGATACTGTAACATCTCTCTATCTATCTATCTATCTATCTATCTATCTATCTATCTATCTATCTATCTATCTATCTATCTATCTATCATCTATCTGTCTGTCTGTCTGTCTGTCTGTCTGTCTGTCTGTCTGTCTGTCTGTCTGTCTGTCTGTCTGTCTGTCTGTCTGTCTGTCTATCTATCTATCTATCTATCTATCTATCTATCTATCTATCTATCTATCTATCTATCTATCTATCTATCTATCTATCTACCGTAAATCCTCTAATATAGGCCCGGGCCTTTATTTCACTCAAGTGCATCGCGGTCCAGGCCTTTATTGCAAAGAGGCCAGAATTAGAGACAGGCCTCTATTGCTATTTGAGCAAAACAGACTACCAGTGGAATGAATAAAAATGAGATTTTGTGTCTATTTGAACCTATAAAACACTAGGTTCATTTATTGAAAAAGTACAGGTACCATGTCTCGCTCGGTTTGAAGTAAAAAAAATCCTCCAATTCTGTTTAATCCTCCTCCTCAGTTTCCTCCTCCTCTTCATCTCTCCCTTTAATCTCCTCATCACTCGCGCCAGTCTCTATAACAAGTTCATTATTGTACAGTTCCTCTTCGTTCTCCTTATGTTCTGCTGCGTGTCTGTTCTCTTCCTCGCGCAGACGGGCAGCAGTCAGGGCCTGTCGTCCAGCAGCGCAGGGCTGTGGTACTTGTATGTTACTACCACAAGTATAATGTTGAGGTATGCCCAGAAAAAACGTTTATAGCCCCGGCCTGTATGAGAGATTATTTACCTCCTCTGACAGCGAGACCGGCCAATGTTAGAGCCCCGGCCGCTAATGGAATACAGGCCAATATTAGAGAATTTACGGTATATGTATACTCTGTGTGTGACATAAAATATGGATCTCCATCCCTGCCACAAAGGCCATCAAATAATGTTTAAAATAAAAAATACAGTAGGTTTAAAAGTCAGAGTATCCATCCATCCATCCATCCATCCATCCATCCATCCATCCATCCATCCATCCATCCATCCATCCATCCATCCATCCATCCATCCATCCATCCATCCATCCAGATTTCTCCCTTTCTTCATATAGGCTATCATTTGATCGTTTACGCTCTCCGTAGTTCCCCTGTGGCACGAGCACAGGGCGACTGTTGCGCGCCTTTAGCGAGCATGCGCGTTTTCTGTCGCTTGCGCGGTGACTCGTGCCGCCTGCGCTGTGCGGAGATGCAGAGGAAACCGAATCTGATGGGGAAACGCAGCTCGACGTAAGACCGGTATTTCCATGTTGAAAACGCTGTTTTGCTGCTGGAGTCATCCTCACTCTCCATCTCTCTGTGTGTGCTGTACGTTAACACCCGCCAGCAGAAACACCCACCTACCCAACTGCCAATCTCATCCTCCACTCTCTCATGACAAGGCGCGCACCTCTGGATGACCTAAAAAATAATCTTTAATATCTCTTAAACAAAAGTAGCACAAACAATATTTTTTTCTGCACAAATCTGCACTAACGTTGCACTAACCATTCAGTCTATTTGCAGAGTTTTTTGACGTGGGTGGGGTGTCAGCTTCACGCAGCTATCATGAAAAAAGGTTCATTGTGCGACCTGAGTAACGCGCAGTAACGGGGTGTATGCAATGGTAACTGCGTTATAGTTACAGTCAAAGTAATTAGTTAGATTACTCGTTACTAAAATAAGGTAACGGCTTTAGTAACGCCATTACTTTCAACGCCGTTAGTCCCATCACTGGTAATTGCATATAACGCAAACACGCATTGGTTAGCTATTCAACAAATTTGTGCTGATACCAAAGGAAATCACCAGAAGCAAGCAGGTGTTCTTAAAACTCTAAACGTAAATTGTCTATGCCAAGCTACAATGTCGGATTCTGAAAAAGATGTTGAAATGTCTGAAAGGTCGGACACAAGCAAGACTGTATCGGTAGATGGAGACGGAGACCAACAAGACCTCCCTCATCCTTGGCCCTATCTCAAAGAATTTTTCAAAGTAGTCAAAAAATTAGCTTCCAATTCATATAGCGGCATCTGGCTGTTTTTTTTAAAAGGTTACTTTATACTTTTATACTTTACGTAGTTTCGGAGCACATACTTTTTCACTTTTACTTGAGTAAAGAGGTCAAGTTGATACTTCAACTTTTACCAGAGTGTTTTTAAACTGCAGTATCTATACTTCTACTTAACTAACAAATGTGTGTAATTTTGTCAATACTGTATAACTTCTTCAGTTTGTTAGGTAGATTTCCTTAAGATTTTTTTTTACCTTGGTTATATCCTTTTTCTATTTTAGATAGAAATCCCAGAAGAAATTGTTCAGCTCTTTCTATCTCATTGATTCATTTTTCTATTGGCTGTTTTTAGAGTTATTTGAAAATATTCTTAGTTAATCTGCATTTTAATTCTCAAGCTGTAATTATAGTTTCCTGTGTTTGTTTGCTTATGTCTTAGCTTCTTCTTTCTATTAAAGATGTGATGAAAGATGTTAGTGTCATGGTGCGTTGAGAGGGATATGCTAATTTTAACTTATTCGTAATTTAGATCTACATAATCCTTTGAGAATAAAATACTTTGTTTTGACTATGGAAACTATGGATATTCTACATTAGTATTTTCTTTCACATGGGACAGACTGCAGATAGCTGGCTCTTCTATTTATAGTGTTCTTTTTTTTTTTTTTTTTTTTTTTAACTTCAGGAGAGGTTTTGTTACTATTCCAAAAGAGGTAAAAAACAATCCACTGGACTTGGTTTCCAAGTTTGAAGATGTTTCGCTTCCCATCCAGGAAGCTTTTTCAATTCAAAATGTCGGATGACTATGACCTGGATGACTGAGAGTCTTTACCGGCATTTTGTTACCATGTTGGTGATGAATATTGGTTTATCAAATATTGTGTTCCTTCCCATTAATTGCAACTTACTTTTAGTAATATCCACATTTTATTTTGCAACTGATTCCATATAACCTGGTGAATCAAATTAATTATAGCTCTCAAGTTTAGTTCTACATATTGTTTAACTAGGGTTGCTCCAATCCAATCTCTTCAGGGAAATTTAGGATGGGATAGATACTGCCTGCTCACCAAAATATGCTTTTAGCCATGAAATACCACAACAATTTACTTTTTTATGCTCTGACTGTTCCTCTTTAGAAGATTAAATTATGGCATCTTCTAAAATAGCCATGCGAACGTCTTCCTGCGTTGCCATGTTTTGGTTCAGCTGTGGGCCTGGCACCTCTTGCTTTCATCACAGCTGTAAGTCTAGCTTTAAAGTGTAATACTGCAAAGTGATTCGCCAACGGTTTTGAGTCTGACCGGAAGGATCTCAGCTGGAGCTGTATAAGGTGCATTCTCTTGTATTTGTGAGTATACAAATACATCTTGAATTAAGCTTGCGGACAAGGTTAGATTCCATTATATTAACAACACTCTACTCTATATTAACAACCCGCTCACAAAAATATCATCAATATTCATGCAATTATTTAGAAAAGCATCCTAGTATAAACAGAATATTGTTTAGTCTGCTATTACATTTTGATAAGATATATTGTATATTTTTATTTTTAAACTAGATTAATGGCTAAAAAAGAGGGTAAGTGACTTTTTGTCACACAAGTAACTTCAAACATGCAGAACATACATTTCTTTAAGTTTCTGGAGGCTTCTTGTACCAGAAAGTTTGCATTAGTTCCCCCTTGTCCCCGTAGATTTGGAGGATGGTTTTGCCTTACTTCCCGCAGATGCCATTAGATTGCATCACACTCGGGTTTATTGAGGTTGACGGCTTGGATGAACACCTCCGTTCTTTTTTCTGTGTTCTTTGATCCCTGCTTACACCGTTTTGAAGATACTCACTGCTTTTCTCATGAGCTGTTTTGGCAGGAGGGCAAATGTTATAGGAATGGAGCTAAGAAGTCTTATGTTGCTCATTTTACAGCTCAGTGGTCATAATGTTATGGCTGATCAGTATATATTTAATAGAATATTCTAAGACACTGTTAGATGCAGAAATGGCAAGCCGCAGTGATAATGTGCTGCTTTTATTCAGCATTTTTTTCTTCAGGTCTCAGACTGTTGGTCAGCCTCATTGGGCATTCATAATAAGTAATGCCATTTGCCATTTTTAATAGGCAGCAGAAATATTGAAAGTTTAGATTGTCACAGTCTTTCCAATTAAGTGTTTGCTTCATTGCACTCCATTCGAAATCAAGTAATGGGAATAAATCGGTTGGCATGAATATAAACAAAGCTTATGAAAATAATGCATGCAAGCTGAAATCAATCCTCAATTACGAAGCTGCAAATTAATACACAGGAGCAATCAGGGGTAAATCAAAAAACCAATTGCCTTTATGACAAATAACAATACCCAATTTGGAATTCATAAATGGGTGTTCTCAGATTTCCCAGCTGCACCGACTGCGGGGAGAGGTGTGTGTCAGGGTCACCGCTACTCATCTGTGGACTAATAAGCTGCCTCACATGTTGAAACTGAACACGTTACTTTATCAAGGCAGCCAGCCATGAAAAATCAGCACCCCCACCTCCTCTACTGCTTTACGCTATCAGTGGAGGAACTGAGTGAGACAGATGTTTGGGGGATCATTAGTATGCACAGAGACACTCTGACCCAAACAGGACATGGCAGAGGTCTCCTGAATGCCAAGGACAGTATCAACAGTGTGCGTTACTAAAATCTTCGACCGGATGAAGCAGCTTTATTATTGCTGTGGTTTGTTAATGTCTGAGAGGTCTACATTTGTTCTTAACTTTAAATGCTTGTTTGTTTCTCTTGATTTTATAATGGTGTGATAAAAATACTGAGTTGTAACACTAGGACGGCATTAAAATAAAATGAAACTCCACAAAAATAAAATATTTCTAACCTCTTTTAAGGTTGAAAATGTAAAAGCATGCATTTTAAAAATACATAAGAGCTTTGCTGGGCTACAGAAAAAAGGAGTCAACTCATATTTTCCGTAAAAAAAAACATCCAAATTAACCCCTAAGGCTTTTGGAGTATTTATTCTTTTAAAGTATTTAAAATAATAAACATTTAAAACTATTTGTTGTATTATAATGTTACTATTTGCAACTCCATCAACTGGACAACTTAATATTAATGTCCAGCCCTACTTTACAACTTAAAACTGAAGGAGGAAATGTGAAGGAGTAGTTTCCAAAAATTTTATCTCTGAAATACTTCCCTAAAGGTGATGATCTGAAAAACTTTTGTGGACAAACAAGAGAAATGTGGAATCTTTAAGAAAATATCCCTCTAAAACACGGTGAAAGGAAAAAAAAAAAACAGCATTGTTCCAACAGTCAAATGTGGTGGCAGTAAATTAATAATGTAATCTTAATAATATGTATTAATAAAGTCTATTAAATGCGTGCAAAAGCATGCAGGAACCCAAATTTCCTCTTGTACGCTCTGTTTAAAAGTTTCTGTTTGAATCGCTCACACAAGCTTACTTTCCCAAAGAAAATGCTTAATTTTTCAACTATGTCAAACTCACCACCGCTAATTAAAAATGTGGACGAGAATGTAGGACGGCCCCATGTAAACATATCCGCAGAATGATTGACAATTAGGAGGACCACTTATTTTGATGATTCACCTGGAAAAAGAACATCCTCCACTGTACCTTTAAGCTGAAATACACTTTTGTTTTGCAGCCAAACAACAGTTTAAGAAGTTAATGAAGATTTTTAAGTGGCCTGTTGAAAGCATAGACTAAAATCTCATTTAGAAATTCCAGCTTGGCCTTCAACAGGTTGCTGCTGCTCAAAAATCCATCTGCCTATTTATCTAAATTTGAAACAATGCTAAAAAGAAGAGTTGGTCAAAATTTCCCCATATCGATGTTACAGACATAGGATACACAGAGATAAACAGACATAAATCTGTGAAGGGAAATATATTAATGCTAATGATAATCTTATGACGAGATGGGTTTTGTTAAGCATTTTCTTTACCTTTGTATGTTTAAACTGTATAAAGAAATCTAAATCTGGTAAAGCAGATTCTTCACAGTTATGAGAATTATAAATTAAATAAAAAAACAATGGAATTTAGCCTAAAATAAATGAATAAAGTTTGTTTCTGGATCAATTTCATATCAATCTAGCAGTGTCTTTAACTATGCTACAGTAATCACAGTTGCTTTTAGGCCACCTAGTCAGTCCTCACTGGTTAAAACATGAGTAATGTCAGAGCATGGAGTGGTATTAAAATCTGTTTGTCAGAAAAATTGCACGGCTGAAGAACTGCTATGAGGCCTGCAACCTGCCCGTGCAAATTAAATAGAAACAAAAAAATATCTGGACTCAATCTCTACATCACTGCTTGGTCACAGCATTTGCGAGAAATTATAGTGTGCATTTTCTTTGCCTTTGACAGGTACCTCTGTCGTTACTGTAACCGCCACTGATGCAGATGATCAAACGTATGGGAACAGTGCCAAGCTTGTGTATAGCATCCTGCAGGGACAGCCATATTTCTCTGTGGATTCAGAAAACGGTAAGACAAACGCTACAAGGTCTCTGACAGGTCCTCTAATGTCATAGTAACTGACATGTTTTCACAACAGGAAATGTCATTTTAGCATATTTCCATTATTTCCATATTGAAAACAGAAACAAAGCAGGGGGTATTTGATTTTTTCTTCTTATATCAGCTACCGGTTGACTAAATTTAGAAATACTTAACCATTTACCTTCGATGGAAGAGAAGAGATGAATAGAATGAAGTGTTAAATTTTAAGCCTGCTTGAAACTTTTTAATTCAGTATATTTGTAGGTATTTTTCAATTTGATTATTTAACAAAAAATACCACTACATGTGAGAATAAAGTCAAACACTGATGCAAGGCGATAAGTTACAGCACCTATACAAAATCAGCGTGTTAAACAACAAAAACCACATGTAACACATGTATCTTACTATGTGGTAATTGGAATTACCATTACAATGGGTTGGTATTAAATTGCAAAAGGAGGATTATATGTTGGTAACCTAAACATGAGAGTTTGGACCATAACAGTAAACATTAACGTAAACATCTCTCAGAACATCTAAAGAAGCATGATGCATCATATATTGAACCTTTATATATTTCTGAGGCATATAAAGTTTAGATCCTCATGTATGTGACTTAAAATAGGGTAATGGTGTGTGTTGGCAAAAACAAATTCCCATATATTTCTTTTTTCTTCCATTTTAAAACCTGAATCTTAGCTTTCTTTGTTTTGTATATTGTATAAAAGTATTAAGTAAGGCTGCACACCAGCTTGACAAGGCTAGGCATTAGAGTTACCATTTCGACACCTGAGAGTCTGATGTGTTTTGGAAATGGAGCCTCCTTTAGGTTCGAGGTTATTTAACATCCCTCTGTTTTGTTGCTAACTGTCTGTAACCTGTTTTGGTTGTAGTACATTTAAATCCCTTTCAGCTGTTCATTTGAGTGTTAAGTAGTTAGTGAAATCTTTTGTCTGACCAGAAAAGACACAACACTGTTCTGCTGTACAGAATTAATAAATACTGCTTGAATCAATCTATTTCTTGTTAAATAAGACAAGAACCAATTTTCCTGATAGAACGCTGTTAAAAAAAATAAAACAGGGATCTGAACCCAGTCAACCATTTTAAAGACAGTTAACAATATTGTTTGATTAGATTAGAATGATTGCCCATCTTGATATATATCTAACTTTTAGCATGGTAAAAAAAATAAAAAATAAAAAAATCCAACGGTCTTACTTTTTTTCTAGGAACCATTAAGACTGCTCTACCTGGCATGGACAGAGAAGTCAAGGAACACTACCAGGTGGTGATTCAGGCCAAAGACATGGCTGGACAAATGGGTGGACTTTCAGGGACCACAACAGTCAGCATCACCCTCTCTGATGTCAATGACAGCCCGCCACGCTTTGCTAACCGTAAGAAGTTGGATTTCTCATATGTGTTTACATATTTATATCTATATCTAGGAATTCCCACTGTTTTAGCAGAGATTTAAACACTAGAGAACATGTGTGCTATGTCATCTCGTCTGAATTTGATTTAGACTCCTTCCGCGTGACCACTGTGGAGTCTACCGAGATAGGTGGTGCCATCGGACGCATCAAGGCCGATGATCCCGATGTGGGCCATAACGCTGAGATGGAGTATAGCATTGTTGGTGGTCATGATACATTCAACATCATTACTGACCAAGCTACACAGGAAGGTGTCATCATAATTAAAAAGGTATTGGCCTTGCCTTCTAGAAGTACTTCTTTGTCATTATAAAGTGCGGAATTCAGTTTAATTTAGTGTTATTTTTATTATTAAGTGAAAAGTGAAAAGCCCTTTGGGAAACTCCTCCAACTCCCATTGTCATTGTGACACAGCACACACAAGTGAACACTGCACACCATGAAATTGCATTTATACCTCACCCGTGCAAGGGGGCAGCCCTCAATGGCGCCCCAAGGGAGCAGTGTGGCAGGACGGTACCAACCTCAGTCATGGAGGAGGATGGGGGAGAGCGCTGGTTAATTACTCCCCCCACCAACCTGGCGGGTCAGGAGTCGAACCGGTAACCTTTGGGATCCAAGTCTGACACCCTAACCGCTCACCCACGACTGCCCCTGCTCACCCACGACTGCCACATTATCTTCTGAATCTAAGGTCAGAAACAGAGCTATTCACAGGCATTCTGAGCTTCAGCCATTTTGCCAAGAATGCAAAAGTTTTTGGTTAATAGCTGGGAAAAGTTGGTAGAGGCATACCGTTATTTTTTTTTTTCTCCCAATTCCTAATTAGGTTGGTCTTTGTTCTGCTTTGTCATAAAAACCACAGTAATGTCTGCTTGTACAGTAGTTGTGACAAAACAAAATGAGAGATAGGATGTGAACACCTTTATAGGACACGGATAATCAGATTTTCTGTCTACTTTATCAACTTTGAAAGTTTTTAAAAACAGCTTAAAGATTCTAAGTTTGATAAAAAAAAAAAAAAAAAACTTTAAGCCTAAACTTATTGAATGTTTCCATTTCATTCACATCTTAGCTGTATTTAAAGCCATTCTCTGAATGTACAAAATCTCTCACTCCCAACAATACCACAGAACATTTAACTCCAGCATGATTTCTTATGAAGAAATAATGTCCCCTGATAACATTTATTCATGTAAAAAAGATATGACGGGATTTATTTTTTGAAGCGCAGTGTAAAATCAGATATCATAAGCCTGTAAAATGAATAATATAAAGGAGTCTTTTGCAAGGAGCTCTCTTTAGTTTTCCCCTAAGATCTTCCAGTTTTCCTGACTTGGATTTGTTACTCTGAATTTGGAGAGGGGGTAAGATAAAGGCAGACAAATGAAATGCATGAATCACATATCAAAATCCCGGAGGCAGGCTTTCTTTTTTAAATGGAAAAGTCTACAGCTTTCTTTCTTTGCTGCTCTTTCATCTGCAGGCTCTGGATTATGAAAGTAAGAGGGACTACGATTTCAGAGTGGAGGTGAAAAACACCTACTTAGATGCCAGGTTCATCCACGGTGTGCAGTTCAAAGACTACGCCACGGTCAAGGTGACGGTGGAGGATGTGGACGAACCACCCGTCTTCACCCGTAACCCTTACATCATCGAAGTGCACGAGGACACGGCCGCAGGCAGCTTCGTTGGCGTGGTGCTGGCCAGGGACCCTGATGCTGACAACAAGCCAGTAAAGTATGTTTCCCAGAACACTGATCCAAACTGGTTTTCAGGGTTTTTTAGATTTTGATTTATTTGAAAAAAGAAAAAAGGGAATGGAAAAATAATTGTACTACCTGACTTAAGTCCTAATCCAATACTCAGAATGTTTCCTTTCTCCCGCCAATCCTTTTTCGCTTCCTTCTTGCCTCCTAAATCTTTTCATCCTTCCTTCTGGATTTTCCCTCCATTTCATCGTTATTTATGTCCTTACTCCATTCTTTGTGTCGTATTGTTCTTTCTTTGTTGGGTTCTTACAACTTGAGTCCTACATTCTTTACTTTCTTGTGTTGTTCCTTTCTTTTTTTAATTGTGCAAAACTGCTCCTCTATTTGGTGCTTCGTGATGCTTTCATCATTGCTTGCTTTTTACCTCTTCATCTCAAGTATCCTTTTTCCTCTCAACTTGTGTCATTTCTTCTTTCCTTCCTTGTGTCATGTTCTCTGTCTTCCTTCTGCTTATCCTTCCTTCCTTCAAGTTCTCCTGTCTTGTAGTCTTCCTGTTTTTGCAGGTTTCACATTTAAAGCCTGGCTGCTCCAGTTTAATATCAAAAGAAATACAGTTTAAGGTCTAAAGAGCCCTAAGGTCTGCAACTTTATGATATATAAATATATAATATATAAATCTGATCTTAAGGGTTATCAGAATCTGCTAACATACGACGTCACAAAAAAAATAAATAAATAATAATCCTAATTTGCCATATCGATTCATTCAGCTCATAGCTGCCTTTCGGTGCACATATGGCAGCCGCCTGTCCCCTGTCGCTGGAGAAATGCCGCACCACATGACGTGCTGTGTTGCATATTCAAATCTCAGCTGAACATGAGAGGTTACTATGACAAATGAGCTGACTCGAGGAAAAAAAAGAGGCGTCAAATTTTTGACAACAGAGAATACTTTTCCTTTAGGGGGGCTGCTTCTTTCTTTTCTGTCTTCTGAAAACAAATCTATGCAAATTAAACAAACAAAAACTAACTTACTGCCTAAAGCCAGCTATTTCAATTACAACTCAGCAAAGTCCAAGATATATTTGGAAAGCTTTTTATTTATAGTTAAAATAAATTCTAAGTTGAATGATACTTTCCAAAGTATTAAGAAGTCTCAAACTATCACATTTCATCAAGTACAATCACAAAACTCTGTGTTTAGTCAGTAGATTCCACAGGTTCTGAGTTCACGCCCCACTCCCACAGACTCCCACTCTAGGGCCCTGAGTAAAACCTTTAATCCCACACTGCTCCTCGGGTACCACAGAATGGAAGCCCCTGCTCCCCAAGGGGATGGGTTAAATGCAGAGAGTTATTGTTGTTTTGTACTTGTTGCAATGTAACAACAATAAAGTTGAATTGTATTTTCTATTCTATTCTGTTCAAACTAATGATGTCTTGTGTTCCTCCCGCAGATACTCAATTGACCGACACACGGATTTAGAAAGGCTTTTTAACGTTGATTCGGTAAACGGTACCATCACCACTCTGAAAGCACTCGACAGAGAAATGTCCAAATGGCACAATATCTCTGTGGTGGCCACTGAAATAAGTAAGTCCCTTTCTCTGTACCTTTAAAAGTTATCCTCAGTTCTGCAATTATTGATATCGGAGCATCGGGAAGGTTTGAAATCTATTTTTTTTGTGTGTGTGTGTGTGTGTGTGTGTGTGTGTTATAGATAACCCTCGCCAAACCACTCGAGTACCTGTATTCATCAAGGTGTTGGATGTCAATGATAACGCCCCAGAGTTTGCCATGTCCTACGATACATTTGTCTGTGAAAACGTCAAAGCAGGACAGGTGTGTCAAATATTTTGAAACAACTCAGTCTTGCATTCTGGTTTTAAATTTTATTGCCAACACACAGCTTGACAGTGCAGTAATGTTCATTTCAAATGGTCTAATACTATTAGACATAGAGTTTTCTGTTTAGTTCTGATTTTGACTCTTTCTCTGAATTTTGTTTATTGGTTACAAGGTTCAAGCACCCAGAGTTTAGAATTATGCCTCAGTAGAGTTTAACATTCTTAAATAGTCGCTACATATACATAGAGTCTTGCCTGAGTTTCGGTTTGTCTTTGTAAAGAGTGACTCTGATTCCTACTTTTCCATAGGGCCCTCTTCTTACTTCTTTTAGCAGATTTCATTCGAACAAAAGAAATAAGAATAAGGAAAAGTAGTGATACTTCCCCACTTTATTCCTAATCCCATTCTCAAAATAAAATTATCTTATATTTTAAAAATTCTTATGTTTTATTTATTTATAGGTGCAATATTTTAAATCAAAATGTAAGCAGCCAGCTATGAAAAAAAAAATAGACATAAGAGATTTAATACATATAGATTATGGGAATAATAAAGGAAAAACTTAGGGATGCACGATATAATCGGCCCCCTATCGGTATCGGCCTTAAAACTGAATATCGGACATCAGCCACCACACCGATATTTAACCCGATATTTAATCAGCTTCTGATTTCTAAAGTCCCAAAAAAAAACTTCTTCTTCCTCAAAAACTTCTTTTTTACAGACTTAAAAAAAGACGATGGAAAAAATATTGATACATTAAAATATCACAATATCTTCGTATGCTGATATATTGCCATATCAATCTCTTTTACTAATTAAATATTGCTATATGTCATCGTTATGCTACGAAATCCCCTGAAAATTAATGAAATTTTGCCATATTTTTATATGTTGATATATTGACGCGGTATCGATCTATTTTACTAACAAAATCTCACAAGAATTTGCAAAATATCACAAGAGTTTGAAACAGAATGATGAAATTCAACGAGATTTTGAAAGTAAAATAGATCGATACCGCTTTTTAAAAAATCAATTTGATATCAGCATATGAAAATATATTTGAGTATGTTATTTTTCAAAGTGTCAGAAATGGATAACAAAACTGCTATTTTTAATGACTACTTATTTTGATCCAGCTTTAACATCAGTATCGATATCGGTTATCGGCTACATGAGTTTTAAAATATCGGCATAATGGATATCGGCCAAAATCCCAATATCGTGCATCCCTAGAAAAACTATATTTTAGCTAATATTCTAACAATTTTTAGAAGATAGTAATTTGATTGTGAATATTTTTCCATAGCTTCCATAACTTGACCAGATGACCAGAAAAAAAGAGATTCTAGGGGCCACTTGCAGCCCTTGAGCCACACTTTTAATACACCTGCCTCACATCATAAAGCTTCAGCAATGGCCTAACTTTTTTTTTTTTCCTGAAGTAAATTAATTGTAACAGGCTCTGTAGATTTGAGTGTCCATAGCCCTAAAGAAAAATAAAGGTCAAAGTGGGAAAAGTTTTACCACTCCTAATTAAACTTATAGGGGATTTTAATTAAATTGATAAACAGCAGTTTAAACTTTGGGTATTTTTTTTCAGGCAGTAGCTGAATTTGCATCTTTAAAAAAATCCTACTAAATTTAGTTTGAGATTTTTTGGGCTGTTTAAATTTCTATATACCGTACATTCTTAGGCGTATCCCAATAAACTGGATAGTTTCCACCATGCACAGCATCTTTTTGTGTCTCCATCTGAAGTGCGGAAATGCTTTCAGGTACCAGAGTAAAGGGGGCTGTATATTAATCCAGGCCATACTCAATTTCACATCACAGATATAGGCTTCTCTGTCATGTATATTACAAAAAAATGGATAGTTATGAACAAAATTGAGGAGCAGTTAGTTGTATTTACATGTTATGATATGCTGTTTGCTACAAGAATCATGCACAAATGATCTAATTCCAGAAAATCCCCTCCAAGTCACATTCCCAACAAATCAAAGCATTAAGGAGAATTTTATTGTTTTCTCGTGTCTTATACTCTTTGTTTGTATTTTCCCTATTTAGCTGATTCAGACAATAAGTGCTGTTGACACAGATGAGCCACTTGTTGGGCACAAGTTTGTCTTCAGTATAAGTGGCACCAACCCAAACTTTACAATCGTCGACAAGGAAGGTAAGATTAGACCAGATCAGATCTGACCTAAATGTTTGATAGAAATTAAAACTGGCATTGTTTTTTCTTTTTTTTTACCAGAAACTCTTGATGTATGTGAAGACAATTTAATGTGGCATTCTCGAAACCTCTCAGCATAGACTTTTAAGTCATCAGTGTTAATAAAATCAGCCATTTTCCAGTCATTTGCAGAATTTTCCATGTACAGTAGATGAACCAGAGTGAACAAAAGCCCGTTTCATAATTCTGTGTGAGCAAGTGGAACAGTAAATGATCATTTGAATGCAAAGAAAGAATAATAGTCAACACTTTAGCCATGTGATGAAATTACAGTTGCATGAGGGCAGCAGACCGAGCATGACCTTTTAAAAAAAATTATGAAACAGTGTCCCAGATTCATGACGGACAAAGAAGTCCACATGGGAATAAAACTCACCATGTTGTGTTAAGGTTCTACAATTAGTAATAATCCTGGGAGAAGTATGGAGTTTGAAGATCATGGGCTTAGGTGGCCATATGTCAGTTTCTTCACAAGGTTGTCTTTGTGAGGTTTGAAAGTGATGAAATGCTCAAGCAAAAATGCTAAGGTCACAAGAAATTGTATCTGTTGTGAGATCAATAAAGTTCTATCTTATCCTATCTTATACATTTGGACTGACTCTCTGACATTTTCCTCTGGAGTGGACAGAAAGTTCTCAACTGGGTTTAGGTCAACTGATAAAGCGGATATCATTATTTTTTATTTTAAAGGTCCTATTTGTCTGAGGCAAAACACCACTGTGGTACATAGAACTCATGGTTCTAATTAAAGGTTGCAGATGTTTTTTTTTATATATATATCTGTCAGAGAAGGTACCTTTTTAAACCCAGTAGTAGTCGTCAGAGTTAATTGTGAGTCCACCTTCAATTTGGTTTCAGGCTGCCTTATCTGCCTTGGCCATATCTCCAATCACTGCTGAACACCTCGTATATCAGGCCACTCCCGATAGGATGCAGTTCTAGGATATGAACGAGCTGCAGCAGAAGTTGTCCCTGTTGGCTTCAGGTTTTAGTCCTCACCATTCTTACAGTGGTTCTACTTTTATTTTTTCTCAACGTGGCTTTTTGGTTCCTTCTCACTTCTGGCCAGTTGAATGCATGAGAGCTCTCTAAATTCCCCCAGATATCTTGGCAATTTCAAGACTGGAGCACCCCTTAATATATGACCTCTCATCTAGTTGATTCTCATTGTTGGTCCAGTTTTCTGTTTTTGCTGCCTTATGTGTATGCACATATAAGTAGAGAGTGTTGATCCTTGCTCATTATGCAAACACACATTAGCTGACATGCCTAAATCCAATAGGCATGAAGTTTATGAAGCTTGGAGTTGGGAAACGTCCATAATAATAAAGATTTGAATGCACAGTCTAGTATGACTCTATGCATACTTAATCTAACTCTTTCCAGCATTGTCATACTAGCTAATAAGCTTGATCTTAAATTGAACTTCGTATTTTGTTTATTTTTCCATACCAAATAAAAGGTTTATCTAGTGTTGACAGGAAAAAATGCTGCTCTTAGTCTTCCAGTGTTCTTCTTTCAAGCAGCATTTATTTTACCTTGCAAAGGTGAACAGATAAAGTGGTAACAATGTTCCTGCCTGATCTGTTCCCACAGGTTTTCCTTAACTACTTAATAAGCACAGGGAGATATTCTCTTAGACAAAATAGTTTCTCACAAACCAAAGCTTTTGTTGAAATGGCGTTGAGTCTAAAGGAGTCTATTCTCTAACCAAAACATGTAAAACTGAAAACCAGCTTCTGATGCTTCAATAAGATAAGAACCGCTTTCAGCCTAGTCTAGCAGGTGCTCTTATAGAGTAAATTTTTTTTTTAAAGTAAGTGAAAGAAAAAAAAAAAACAGCACTTATAATTAGCAGGAAAAGGAATGCAATAGTAATTACCTTTTGATATACCTGCAGAAATTTTAATACTTATGATTCCCTTTTTTGACTTGAGGAAATAGAAAAATTTTACTATCCGTATGGTTGACATACTTGTTCGACCTCCATCTTTCTGTAGATAACACTGCCAACATCCTGACCAGGAGAGGGGGGTTCAGCCGGCGTGAGATGAGCATGTACTTTCTCCCCGTTGTGATCTCCGACAACGACTACCCCATCCAGAGCAGTACCAGCACGCTGATAGTCCGTGTGTGTGCCTGTGACAGTCGAGGAAACATGCAGTCCTGTAACCCGGAGGTCCTGCCCTTCTCAGATGGCCTCACCACCGGAGCTCTGGTGGCCATACTGCTCTGTGTGATTATCCTGCTCAGTAAGTACGAGCATGTGTATGTGACTGTGGATAATTGGACCTTCTTGTTATTCTTGTGTTGTTTCTTTCTTTGTTCGGGTACCAAAGATGGTAAATACTTTACTTATGTTTGTAGTCTACTGGTTTATACATTACATTATTAATTATTTATTTATTTTTTTCCCCCAAAGGCTGGGAAATGCAGATCATATATATTTATTTCCAACACAGGAATATGTCTTTAAAGAGTACCACTGGCAATGATTAAGCCTATTTTATATGTAGCTGTGATTGAGAGGTTCAGGGTTTGACCTCTAGAAAAGTCTGGGAAAATACGAAGTGTTTCAAATGTTTTCCAGGACTGGAAATATATCAATGGTTGTATTTGGAGGCTTTATCTGAATGGGGAACATGAATTTATATGAAACAAATTGCTTCAAATAGGCTCCTTTTTTATCTGTACTTTAAAGATTGAAATTATATATAAATCAGTCTCTCATCGTAAAATTCATCCATGCTTCATCCAATTAGCTGCTTGTTTATTTATTCAACTGTTCCTCCACCAGTATTTCCATTATAGTTCACATTATCCAACAAATAATTCATCCAACTGGCTATCCATCCCTTACTTCATCCGTTTGTCCATCCATCCATCCATTAGTTTTGAAAAGTAAAAACTTTTGCAGTGTTGGACGTTGGGTTTACTGATGAACCGGTGGTCATTATACAGCTTTAAGCATTTAAAATTATACCATATTAACATGAGATTATTGGGATACCTTTGATATATTCTTATATGGTACTGGTAACCCCTGCTGTCTTTTATTTAGCAAAATGTTGCCCCAAAAAACAAAAAACAGGAAATAAAAGTCATAAACATCTGTACATTTCTGTGTGTTGTAGATAGGTTTTACCATATTCCATTGGTGCATTGGCCTAATAAGCAGTTGTATTTTATAATGCAATACAAATTAAAACTTATATTATTTCAGTGACTCAGTTCAAAAAATCTAACTCAAAGAGGACTTTGAATCTGGAAAACAAGCCTAATCAGAATGTGTATTCTAATTTATTCAGTCTGGCTGTACTTGTACTTGTGTTTTTTTGTGTATCCAGTTCAGTGTGTAAAGGTCTGCCCAAATGGAGAAAAAAGAAAACAGTCTTTCACAACAAAATTCAACCAAAAACTCACTGAAAGGCAACAAAAAAGATGCTGCTCTTCCTGCGTCTCCCTTTGTCTGCCAACAGCCTGGCATCTCAATGTATTAAAGGCAATGAGTGACTCACAGCACATTAGCACATTGATAGAAAGAGATGTCACCCTTAAACTTCACTTTCTCAGAGTGCTGATAATGAGAGATTCAAGAGTGCATTGCAAGTAATGGCTATTTAGTAAGTCAATAATAAAGACAGCTCAGAAGAGAAAAAGAGTGAGTGAAGGAGAATAGTCTTTTTATTCTTTTGTAAGAACTATCATTGAGAACACAGTCTTTGCCCCACAATTTGTTTTAAACTGTATATTTAAAGGCTTCTTGAGGTCTTTATAATGAAAATGTTCAGCAGGACGGTGTTGGTGCACACCTTACTGGGTCTTATTAAGCTGGGTATTTTGTTTCTGACTATATATTAAGCTCTTTTTGTTTAACCAAGTCTACATCTTTTGTCAACTTCCCAATCTTTCCAAACTAAAACATTGATGCAGTATGAGCTACATCAAAATTTCCAGAAAAAAACTATATAACAATCAACATGGTTTAAACATATTTACTGTCATTTACAGTCGGTCATTGGGTTACAGCCAACCTTCATTCTTAATATAGGATTTTATAATGTTATCCTTAAACATTTTTAAACTGTATTAATTTTGAACTATGCATTAATTCTTGTTTAAGTTTATTCCATAGATTCACCTCATCAACAGAAATGCGGTGTTGCTTTATGTTCGTTCTTACATTCAACATATTCTCATTATCAGTTCGTATGAAATCGTACGAAAAGTTATGCACAGTATTTTGTACGTTTTTGACGTTTTTCCCCGAAATTACAGATCAGTGCGCATGCGCAGGCAGACAGATGAAAAAAGCAGATCCGCCGACGGACGTAAAACTGGGAAAAACAGTGCAATATTTACTTCTTGATGTCTCGAATTACGTTGCTTGCTGTTTTGTATCTTAGGGTTACAGTAGGGTCAGGGTCAGGGTTAATTGTATGTTAAATTCTATGTTATTGAATGAGAAATTGAATAAGATGCGCATGCGCAAGGATATCGCAAGACGTAAAAATACGACGAAATACGCCGAAAAAAACATCAAAAACGTACGAAATTACTGTACATAACTTTTCGTACGATTTCGTATGAACTGATAATGAGAATACACTGTTACATTAGGTTTTTTTTAACGAAGTAATGTGATTCTCCAGTGTAAAAGTACATCACAGTGTTTTAATGTGACAAAACAGTATAAAATCAGATGGCGCCAAAACAAAAGACCAACCAAATACTGTTCAAGTGTGACATAGTAGTGTGCAGTTAGTGTGAGATTAGAGGGTAGTGTTACCTGACAGCTTTTATTTAGAAATATATATACATTGTTAAACTCTACTAAATTAGGTTTACATTAAAAAACATTCTAAGAAAACATGTTTTCAGGTTTACACTGCTTGCGGCTCTACTGCATCTTTGTCAGAGTTGAGCGAGCAGTACCGGAGTATTCCGGCCACCTTTCATCCCTGCCGCTGCTGCCGTGGTCCATCTGTGGTCATACAGAATGTGCAGCGCTGCACGCCAGGTGGACGGACCACAGGTCATAGCAGCACGGCTGATACTGCTTAACATATTACAGCTCGTTGATGCATTTTAAACGCCTGACAGAACACCCGCTATTGTTTTTATTTAGTCTCATCCCGTCAACGAAAACTCACACCCATGACTTGTCATATTTTAGTCATCAAAGATCCATGTTTAGCTCGTCGGTTGTCGTTATGGTCATGAAAAAAGGAGCATTGACAAAACTATTTCATCATTGTTGACAAAAACAACAATAACTGCACTCTTAATTTACAATGCAAGCACAGCAATTCTCTCCACCTACACTGGAAAAAGTATAACCTTGCTCAAATATAAAAAAAAAAAAAATAAATGATGTCCGGGTATCACATCTAAAACATTTGACATCACAAAATCTGAATTTAATCACTCGTTATGATCTGATTATTTTATATAGATGTAAACAATAAAACTGCACTTGACCCAACTTTAAATCTGTTCCAAATGATATTCTGAACATTTCAGTTGATCAACCAAATTAATATATTGAAATTGAACCAATGTACCTTCTTTTATCTAAATTAACATGAATTAATGTTTGTTAATTAATTTGAATATAACCAAAATATAATTTTCACATTTCCTTTAAATTTACTTCAAAAATAATTTCCATTTCCCATATTACTAAGTCTAAAAAAAAAAAACAAAAAAAAAAAATAAATAAAACACTTGGCCAACAGATTGTTATACATGTATTTACTAATTGTTAATATAGCCTAAAATGGTGTAAATCCAGGTCGTGTAAATTGATTTGAACTAACCTTGGCAAGCGGTAGCAGTTAGCATTTGTCGCTAACTTGCTCAGCACAACAGCCCCCCCTGTTCTTTATAACATAACACTGGAGGCTCCAGCTGCCAGTAATGGCTGGGTACCTGCAGGTCATGAATATACATATTTAGAGAAATCAAAAACTATGTTTTGGGTTCTTTGTACTTGTCTTTAGTTTAGGTTAAATCAACCTTGTTGCCTCAGAATCCAAAAATAATAAGTTACACATTCAAATCAATAATTATATCCAGTTTACAGTGACAGTTATTAGTTTGAATGAACAGCTACACGTTACACTTTTTTCAGTGTCGCTGAGAGGCCCAAAGTTGCTTCTAGAAGCATTTGCAGGATATGCATCATTGCATAATAAAATTTTATGACAGTTGCAGTAATTTTTGTTGCAAACCCGACATCAAGGAAAGTTTAGCAAAAGTGCTTCGACCAAGCTCCAAAATGTAAAGAATATCATTGGCAAGACAGAAAACCATTGTAACTTAATGTAAAGTTAAAAAAATTAACTCTATAAAATAACTTCAGGGATTCATTTATTTCTTTTCCTGAACCCACATAGATATATTTTTGTTATGTGATCAAATTTAACTTAAAGATTGTAGTGGCACAGTAATAATTAAAAGGAAAATAAAAGCATTACATTAAAAATATATTCACATTTAATTTACATCCCTCTTTGTAATCCAGGGGAATCAGTAGAGGCATTTTGTATGTGTGACTCATTTTTAATGGGAAAACAAAAAGGTGAGTCAGTCTCTGCTCTGGTATTATTGCAAGCAGTATTTTTCTGCTGCATAGCTGCAGAGGCTAACCTCTTGTCAGTAATTTAGAGGTGGGAGGGGCTCACAGCAGCACTTGCTACTCACTGGAGATGGTAAACGGAGCGATCAATGCTTTCACTAAATATAGAGAAAAAGTTGCTAAATTAAAAACAGTGGCAGTAATTAGACTAAGATAATTGGAAACTTGAGATAAAACAGTGAAACTCTTAGGTGACTCAATACAGGGGCCACTAGCTCTGTAGAAGAGGTTCTGATATGGCCCCTTTACTGAGGACAATGCCAAATCAGTTTCTATGATAATATGGACTGGCAGAGAAACTTAATTTTTTTTCCTTTTAAGTTTTACTTGAACTTAATAAATTTAGTGTTGCACTTTTAGCTTACCTTTTTTAAATATGATCTCAGTTTGCATCTGCTAGACCAGGGGTCTGCAACCAGCAGCCCCAGAGCACCTAAGTCTCTCGGCTCACTTAATATAATAACCAAAAAACTAATAACTTGTTTTGATGCTTATTTTATTTTTTTCATACCTTTGTTCTTTGACTCTATAAAAAAAACACAGCTGTTAAAACTGCTTTGCTTTCTGTTTTTTTCTGCAGCCGAGTAAAATGTTTGTTTCACAGTGGTTTAG